GCCTCCACAACATCACTTCCTGAGCAACGCGAGTGACAGGGTTAAAAAAATACAAGATGGCTGCGTGAAATAAATATGGAATTGTGTGTTCGAGTACCAGGTCCATATGGAATACAATGTCACATTGCATGGCTTCCACCCTGCTTGCCAGACTTACTGGTACATTACAACCTTATGATGCATAGACATTCAATATATTTATATCACATTGCCTTGAATTAATAACATTTGAATGAAGACAATTGCTGCAATAAAGAAATATAAATTATTTCCCTTACCAATAAGGCTGTAACACAAAGGGGCCTGACGGCTGAGTGAACAACACTCGGGATTCATATTCCAAAGGGTGTGGGTTCAATTCCCAGAGGAGGCAGAAACAAATGGGCAGAGTTTCCTTCACCCTGATGCCCCTGTTCACCTAGCAGTAAATAGGTACCTGGGAGTTAGTCAGCTGCTACAGGCTGCTTTCTGGGTGTGTGAAAAAAAAAATCAGTTGATTGACAGTTGAGAGGTGGGCCCAAAGAGCCAGAGTTTAACCCCCACAAGCACAACTAGGTGAATACAGTCATAGTTTATAATAATTAGGTAGAATTATTGTCTGTCTGTCTCTATGAAACTTGAGCAAACTTGTGAAAGAGTCTGCGGAACAGAAAGCAAGATTATTTATAAGAACATTATTTCAAAATATATACTAATAAATATTTATATTGTTTTATTTACAATGCAACATAATAGCACATGTTCCTGAGACCCAATTTTGTGCACCCACCAAAGTGGTACAAAAATGGGCCCCATAATAACCTGATTTACCCGAGAGCCACTAATCCTAAACTGAAGTTGAAATAAGTTTATTGAGGTAAAATACACACAAAGGGATGAGGTAGCTCAAGCTATTCTCACCCCGTTCAGTACATCGTGTTAATACATACATAGACACACATCACAAACAATAAACATATTACCGAACATTCTGAGAGATAAACATACACATTTCCTCACTAATCCTAGGGGCCTCAACAAGGACAGGAAGCTGGCGGCTTGTCGAAGGTCCCCTCCTCTCTCCATTTGCTTTGACCATTATAATGGCAGGCTCGAAAACAAATTTCTAAGGGTATGTTGCCAATAAGTAAAAAAAAATTGTAAATATTTATTGAGGTCATTATATATTAGTGTCATTGTTGGGACTAGGTTAATTTGGAGGTGGTGTCCTTGTTGAACTTAAAGCACATGGTTTGCTTGTTAAACTTTAGGTAGAAGGTTCATCCCACCCCACTCCTGCTATATAGTAAATGGCTTTACCCTTTCCCCTGATACTTCCCTTCTAAACCCCCCACCCCCAAGGTGGAACTCCTGACCCTCCCCAGGAGGAAGTGTTCAGACCTCATCAGTTGCGAGTCGTGTGTAAACCGCTCAGCCCGTCCTCCAAACAAAGATCCAAAAGTGATTCCATCCACCCGCCAACCCCCCAGCTGTTTATGAATAAAAAACGGTTTACACACGACTCACAACTGCTGACGTTCGAACACTTCCGGAACAAGTGCTTCACTGACGAATTTTGTTCGAATCACAACACTATAAATGCTTCACCCACGTACTACAAATACAAATAATCACCAACAGGACCTAAACACCTAACCTAACCTATCCTATGCCTATATATACACAATATGCCAATACATTATAATATTAATTTATACTTGAGAAAATTCCCATTTTGAATGAACAGCATGTTAAAATTTATGAATGCGTCTGTGGGGTTGACCTCTGAAGGTAATGGACTTGAGTCGAGGACGGGTTGAAACCGCTTTTCATTCACAAACTAGGGGGTTTGGCGGCTGGATTAACGAGCTTGGATCTTTGTATGCGAGGACGGGCTGCAAGACAGAAGGTCCACTTGAACCCAAGACAGAAGGTCCACTTGAACCCAAGACACAAGGTCCACTTGAACCCAAGACACAAGGTCCACTTGAACCCAAGACAGAAGGTCCACTTGAACCCAAGACAGAAGGTCCACTTGAACCCAAGACAGAAGGTCCACTTGAACCCAAGACAGAAGGTCCACTTGAACCCAAGACACAAGGTCCACTTGAACCCAAAACAAAGTTCATTTGAACCCAAGACACGAGGTTCATTTAGTATTGAACCTGACAAAAACTTCACTTTAGCTCAAGTATATCAGTTATTTCACCTACAGCTACACTAACCGCTGACACTCAATTTGTTTAACACATAAAAAAAATATCTCAAATTAAATCATTACGATCAATTTAATCATTTTTGTTAAATTAATTAATGAATTTGGGTAAAAAAAAAAAAAAAGATATATGCAGTACGACACGTTCAGTTTCGGGATCCGGCAGCAGACGGGGGAGGTTGGGGGTGGGTGAGAGCGCGAGGTCTCAGTGTGGTTGGTGGAGTGGTCGGGGTAACGCGGCTCGTGCACGTGGCCGCCATAAACTAATCTTATAAACTACTTTCTGGCAGTTGGCATCATTGATCGGTGAGTCATTTCGGAGCATTTTGCCTTCTCTGCCGCGTATTTCATTTGTATAAACACGCTGGTTATATTTTCTATGATATTTCTAATATATATATATAGCTTACATACTTATATCAGTATCTATGTATCTCACTATTGATCTATATATCACTCCAAAATTATTGTTTATATATATATATATATATATATATATATATATATATATATATATATATATATATATATATATATATATTAGTATATTTTGGTAGCAGTCTTTCCTGTAGACATATATTATTAAATATGACCGAAAAAGTAAGATTAATAATTCTAACACGAATTTTCTCAATCTTTCGTACATTACGCTTCACTGTTGGAGGTAAATAAAAAATCACTTCTCCAAAATTCATTTTTATTTCTAGTCTGACGCGACACGGGCGCGTTTCGTAAAACTTATTACATTTTCAAAGACTTCACAAATACACAACTGATTAGAACGTATCTCTGATTTTATATCTACATTTGAGTGAGGTGGGAGGGGTGATGTGGCATTAACACAAGACAGAACAGGAGGGGATATTAATAGGGTACCCTATTAATATCCCCTCCTGTTCTGTCTTGTGTTAATGCCACATCACCCCTCCCACCTCACTCAAATGTAGATATAAAATCAGAGATACGTTCTAATCAGTTGTGTATTTGTGAAGTCTTTGAAAATGTAATAAGTTTTACGAAACGCGCCCGTGTCGCGTCAGACTAGAAATAAAAATGAATTTTGGAGAAGTGATTTTTTATTTACCTCCAACAGTGAAGCGTAATGTACGAAAGATTGAGAAAATTCGTGTTAGAATTATTAATCTTACTTTTTCGGTCATATTTAATAATATATATATATATATATATATATATATATATATATATATATATATATATATATATATATATATATAACTGAAACTCACACCCCAGAAGTGACTCGAACCCATACTGCCAGAAGCAGAACCCATACTGCCAGAAGCACAATGCAACTGGTGTGTACAGGACACCTTATCCACTCGACCATCACGACCGGTCAAAAGGAGATGATAGCCGAAGCTATTTAACCCCCCCCCCCCCGCCGGCACTCTGATGGTAATCTTGGGCATAGTATTTTATCAAATCACCTCATTAAGGATAAGGAGTGGATAAGGTGTCCTGTACACACCAGTTGCATTGTGCTTCTATATATATATATATATATATATATATATATATATATATATATATATATATATATATATATATATATATATATATATATATATATATAATATAGTGTTACTGGAAATAAATGTAGTATTTTGAGTTAAAGTCAAAGCCAGGCTCCTGCTATTGTCTCGATACAATAAGCATACCTGGCCCTGGCCAAGGACGTAGATAATCGGGGGTCCCGGGTTCGGTTCCCGGCCGGGGAAGAGAAATGGTTGGACATCTTTCCTTTCATCTAATGCATCTGTTGCCTCGGCACAGTAGCTCGTAAACAGGTACCAGGGAGTTAGCCAACTATTGTGGGTTGGAATATACCCACAACATAGTATATTGTGGAATATACTCTCAAAAGTATATTCCAAGGGCTCCAATCCTAAATGGGCTATATCCTTGCATTTACAAATCCCCCGGGATTACCCAGTCCGGGATTGGAGGCAGGAAATGGCCAGTTTGGTGTTAAAAAACAGTACAAGATTAAATACAGAGCAGCGGGGGGCTCATGAGTTAACATAATTAAAGACCACGTTCACGTCAGTCAGCGTTTCCTGTTGGAGGGTAGAGGCGTGATAAGTCTTTCCGGTTCCTGAGGACTTTTACGGGCTCGCCATAGCCCGTGCTACATGGACACTTTGTTTCTGAGTAGCTAAATCTGAAACATCAACAACAACCTGCGGATTTGTCGTGGAGTGTTGAATGATGCCGGGGTAGTTAGGTTGAGATTAGACTGCTGCTCACTGAGGTAGTTAGGTTGAGATTAGACTGCTGCTCACTGAGGTAGTTAGGTTGAGATTAGACTGCTGCTCACTGAGGTAGTTAGGTTGAGATTAGGAGTTGACTGCTGCTCACTGAGGTAGTTAGGTTGAGATTAGACTGCTGCTCACTGAGGTAGTTAGGTTGAGATTAGACCGCTGCTCACTGAGGTAGTTAGGTTGAGATTAGGAGTAGACTGCTGCTCACTGAGGTAGTTAGGTTGAGATTAGACTGCTGCTCACTGAGGTAGTTAGGTTGAGATTAGACTGCTGCTCACTGAGGTAGTTAGGTTGAGATTAGACTGCTGCTCACTGAGGTAGTTAGGTTGAGATTAGACTGCTGCTCACTGAGGTAATTAGGTTGAGATTAGACTGCTGCTCACTGAGGTAGTTAGGTTGAGATTAGACTGCTGCTCACTGAGGTAGTTAGGTTGAGATTAGACTGCTGCTCACTGAGGTAGTTAGGTTGAGATTAGACTGCTGCTCACTGAGGTAGTTAGGTTGAGATTAGACTGCTGCTCACTGAGGTAGTTAGGTTGAGATTAGACTGCTGCTCACTGAGGTAGTTAGGTTGAGATTAGACTGCTGCTCACTGAGGTAGTTAGGTTGAGATTAGACTGCTGCTCACTGAGGTAGTTAGGTTGAGATTAGACTGCTGCTCACTGAGGTAGTTAGGTTGAGATTAGACTGCTGCTCACTGAGGTAGTTAGGTTGAGATTAGACTGCTGCTCACTGAGGTAGTTAGGTTGAGATTAGACTGCTGCTCACTGAGGTAGTTAGGTTGAGATTAGACTGCTGCTCACTGAGGTAATTAGGTTGAGATTAGACTGCTGCTCACTGAGGTAGTTAGGTTGAGATTAGACTGCTGCTCACTGAGGTAGTTAGGTTGAGATTAGACTGCTGCTCACTGAGGTAGTTAGGTTGAGATTAGACTGCTGCTCACTGAGGTAGTTAGGTTGAGATTAGACTGCTGCTCACTGAGGTAGTTAGGTTGAGATTAGACTGCTGCTCACTGAGGTAGTTAGGTTGAGATTAGACTGCTGCTCACTGAGGTAGTTAGGTTGAGATTAGACTGCTGCTCACTGAGGTAGTTAGGTTGAGATTAGACTGCTGCTCACTGAGGTAGTTAGGTTGAGATTAGACTGCTGCTCACTGAGGTAGTTAGGTTGAGATTAGACTGCTGCTCACTGAGGTAGTTAGGTTGAGATTAGACTGCTGCTCACTGAGGTAGTTAGGTTGAGATTAGACTGCTGCTCACTGAGGTAGTTAGGTTGAGATTAGACTGCTGCTCACTGAGGTAGTTAGGTTGAGATTAGACTGCTGCTCACTGAGGTAGTTAGGTTGAGATTAGACTGCTGCTCACTGAGGTAGTTAGGTTGAGATTAGACTGCTGCTCACTGAGGTAGTTAGGTTGAGGTTAGACTGCTGTTCACTGAGGTAGTTAGGTTGAGATTAGACTGCTGTTCACTGAGGTAGTTAGGTTGAGATTAGGAGTAGACTGCTGCTCACTGAGGTAGTTAGGTTGAGATTAGACTGCTGTTCACTGAGGTAGTTAGGTTGAGATTAGGAGTAGACTGCTGCTCACTGAGGTAGTTAGGTTGAGATTAGACTGCTGTTCACTGAGGTAGTTAGGTTGAGATTAGACTGCTGTTCACTGAGGTAGTTAGGTTGAGATTAGGAGTAGACTGCTGCTCACTGAGGTAGTTAGGTTGAGATTAGGAGTAGACTGCTGTTCACTGAGGAAGTTAGGTTGAGATTAGGAGTAGACTGCTGCTCACTGAGGTAGTTAGGTTGAGATTAGACTGCTGCTCACTGAGGTAGTTAGGTTGAGATTAGGAGTAGACTGCTGCTCACTGAGGTAGTTAGGTTGAGATTAGGAGTAGACTGCTGCTCACTGAGGTAGTTAGGTTGAGATTAGACTGCTGTTCACTGAGGTAGTTAGGTTGAGATTAGGAGTAGACTGCTGCTCACTGAGGTAGTTAGGTTGAGATTAGGAGTAGACTGCTGTTCACTGAGGTAGTTAGGTTGAGATTAGGAGTAGACTGCTGTTCACTGAGGTAGTTAGGTTGAGATTAGACTGCTGCTCACTGAGGTAGTTAGGTTGAGATTAGGAGTAGACTGCTGCTCACTGAGGTAGTTAGGTTGACATTAGGAGTTGACCGCTGCTCACTGAGGTAGTTAGGTTGAGATTAGACTGCTGCTCACTGAGGTAGTTAGGTTGAGATTAGACTGCTGCTCACTGAGGTAGTTAGGTTGAGATTAGACTGCTGCTCACTGAGGTAGTTAGGTTGAGATTAGGAGTAGACTGCTGTTCACTGAGGTAGTTAGGTTGAGATTAGACTGCTGCTCACTGAGGTAGTTAGGTTGAGATTAGGAGTAGACTGCTGCTCACTGAGGTAGTTAGGTTGAGATTAGGAGTAGACTGCTGCTCACTGAGGTAGTTAGGTTGAGATTAGGAGTTGACTGCTGCTCACTGAGGTAGTTAGGTTGAGATTAGACTGCTGCTCACTGAGGTAGTTAGGTTGAGATTAGGAGTAGACTGCTGCTCACTGAGGTAGTTAGGTTGAGATTAGGTGTTGACTGTTGCTCACTGAGGTAGTTAGGTTGAGATTAGGAGTTGACTGCTGCTCACTGAGGTAGTTAGGTTGAGATTAGACTGCTGCTCACTGAGGTAGTTAGGTTGAGATTAGGAGTTGACTGCTGCTCACTGAGGTAGTTAGGTTGAGATTAGGAGTTGACTGCTGCTCACTGAGGTAGTTAGGTTGAGATTAGGAGTTGACTGCTGCTCACTGAGGTAGTTAGGTTGAGATTAGGTGTTGACTACAGCCATCTCCATTGCCGGCTTCTCTGCTACATTGTCGGAATAGCGATGATTTCGCTTCATGCAGGTCAGCGTTCGATCCCCCGATGGCCCAAGTGGTTGGGCGCCACTCCTTCCCTCCGTTCTATCCCAGCTCCTCGGCCTCCTATCCCTTCCAATTACTATGTAATCGACCTGAGTGGGGTTTTTTTCTTCCTGCTAAT